CCCCCCCCCAAACCAACAATACTTAAAACATGTATTATGAAAGCACTGCTTTTTTAAAAGTGTGTTATGAGTATTATAATCATCTAGTGACACTTGCTTAAAGATCTATTTAGCTAGAAGTCTTGAATGAAATAGCTTTGCATGCAGGATGAACTGAAGACAAAAACTGTCACCACCTCATTTAGCAGCATAAAAATAGAGTAGCATTATACATCTAGTTGTCAAGGAATTGTATGCAAAAGGAACGACAATGATCACAATAATGCAAAAACTAACTCAAAGGACACAGTTTGATGAGAAAACATTTTCAAAACCCCAGCACTGACAGAGGATATTCATATTACTCATTCTCAACTTCAAATTACTCATTTTTGTAGGGGTGGGTGTGTGTGTGTATTTTTATATATACATATATGAATACTTAATGTTAAATGAATTTTGGAGAACATAACAGAACACCAAAATTTAACAAACCATGATGAAATCAATAGCCATATATCACAAAGAATCAGAGGACTAGAATGATAATCAAGTTTAGAATGTTTTCTCACAGAATTTGCTCAAGCTGCACATGCCCGGCATATAGCATTGTTTCAATCCAGTTTCGAAAGTAATAAATGGGGTTATAGATGTAAGACATGTTTATTATGCATGTCATTTTCTTCACCGTCAATCTTGAAATTTTTACAAAGACCGTTTACTTAAATCTTTTCAGATTCTCCTGTGTGGATTTATTCATGCAAAGTCTTTTAATTAGAAGACCACAAATTGTAACAGTTACAGTTGAATTGTATAAATTATAGTTCAGTCAGAATACAAAATTGGCCTCGACTCAAGAGCCAGTACAAGGGACGCTTTCAGCAGTAAAGGACAGTTACTGCAAAATCAAAGACAGAATTAATAGGGGTCTTTCAATTCAACAGCAGAAGTTTAATACACAGAGAGAGACCCAGACATACTTTTTTTTTTCAGGACTTCAAGAAAACCCCACACTATAGTATGCTAATAAATATACATTAAAAGATTATAAAATGAATAAAAACTAAATGACAGCAATGAAACATGGGAGATGTTTATATTCCTAAACATAACTTTCAGACAGCATTGCAGACTAAGTTAAAAAAAATGTAGCCTTCTTTGACAGGTTTGCAAGTTATTCCAGTAATGTCTACTGAAAGGCACCTCTGAGAATTCCTGTTTCAACAGCTAAAAATTAAGTCTTATCTGGAAAAGGATGGCAGCATAAAAACAAACATGTAAATACAGTTATACTGTTTAAAATTCTTAGTGCATATCAAAATATAAAAGCTCTTTGTTCCACTCTCCTTTAAACTGGCATGTATGGCTTCCTGCAAAATGTACCTGATCTAGTCTGGAGATTGGTATGCTACCTATGGTGGAAGTGTAGTGTTGTGAAAAGAAACATTACTAGGGAAGCAGTAGAACATTTCTTTTCCATGGCTACATTCTTGGGGATGCAAGATAGTCAAAACAAACCCAACTGTCATCACTAGCACACCGACAGCAAGAATCAGGCAGGATATGAGGTTATCTGAATGGTTCCATCGCTCTTTGGATAGCTTTAGATAACACGCTGTTGGGATGATAAAAACAAGTGGGGTAGCACTCAGAACTCCCTGTGTGTGGGAAACAACAATAGAAAAAAACCCTCATAAGCATTTATATTTCGATCTGAAGAACAAAAGCCTAAATTTTTTAATGGTTGTGATTAGATTGATGCAACAGTAAAAACAGAGAACGGAGGCCTTTCCCAGTGTTGCTACATGGAAAACTTTTTTTTTTCCAGAGTCACAGATAAGTTGCAAAAATATCTCTAAATCTATTTCAAATAAATTCAGATTTATTTAAATGCTTTTGCTTTGCTGATACAGAATAATGTTTTATGTTGCAAGTACTATTAAATCTGATTACCAGAAGTTTCTCAGCTTCAGAAGTACAGAAAAAGTCCAAAGTTCTGCAATACTGCAACTGACTTAAAATATACTTAACATCCTTCCATCTAGGAGTCTAGATATAATACTGCCTTAAAGAAAAAAAAACAATTGGAAACATCATGTAGCAGTTCAAAGAATTCTGATCAATTTCTATGTTTATGACTTGATTTAGATTGACTTCCCTATGAAAGCAAAGCTCCCTTTGAGAAAGTTAATCCCCCTCTCATTAAAAATTCAGCTCCTCTTTAAATACTTCCTTATATAGGGACAGATAAAAAGCACCTGCTTAAATGCTTTTTATAGTAAAGCCACTGAAGATTAACATATGAGTTACATGCCAAAAGAGCATTTTTATGCAGAGATTTTGAACATGTACTTTGTCACACACTTAAACACTATGTTTCAACTTTATTATGGTGAGATAGTAATATAGCCTACTGAATACCTTTGCACCATTGTTTGTACAAATTTTTGTATATTTTTATGGTAGAACCTGTTAACAGTGGTCAGTACAGACATCAAAAGAGGTGCATGCATAAAGTATCTTCGTCATAAAAACTGAGACTCTTAAGTATGTGAAGCAACACAAATCAGCATAAAGAATATATTGCACAGCAAAATCCCTGGACCCTTGACTGCCGTATGACTGAATGGTTTCCCTGGGGAATTACTACAGGGCAAACACAATGGCTTGTGTTTTGTTTTAAAAGCAGAAAGCAGGGAAAAAGTAAGTAGAGTCAGAGAAACAGCAGCAAATGCCATCTGTGGTGAAGAGCCAAAAGACAGCTCATCTGCTGGACAGAAAGCCTGCTGAGAAGACAGATCATCTTTCTTTCACGTGTAAAGACTCTGCCTATTCATTTTTCTCTACTGGTGGATATCAAGACGGAACAATCTTTCTAAGTGCAACAATTACATCCAACAAATACATACAGCTGCATTGTCAAATTCTCTCTTAAAAAGGAAAAAAAAACCCCAACAAACCATAAGATATGAGCTACCCACTCAAATGCCTGGCTATCAACTTCTGTTTGAAAGTGAATCAAGCTATCAGCTTGACTACCGAGTAACTGCTTAGGTCTCTCTGGGGAAAGATATTGCACTGATGGAATGTTTGCTTTTGAGTGATTATTTTAAAACAATTTCATTCCAAATAGGAATCACGCATGTTTATTCATGCTAGAAAGACTCACTGGAAGTTCTCAGGTGTGAATTTATCTTCACATATTATACCATATAATAAATGTAAAACACATATTTATACAGACACAGAGTTAATTAGGTTCATTATACCAGTAGTCAGATATTTGGCCAGGATAGGCATGTGTGTATGCATGCACATATTTAAACATTTTTATGTGTGTGTATATACATACACAGGTGAATTTTCTGCACTTGTAATGTAAAAAGAGAGGGGAAAAAAGATAGAAAAGAAATTACCAAAAGATGCCATGAACTAGAGATTTTAATGGAAACATGCACCCTGACCAAAAATGGTAGGAATATTGTTTATTTTGAGCTAGCTATGATTTGGAAAGGATTAACTGAGAAGAAACTGTGTAGGTAATTATTTTAAATAGAGGGTAATTGGATAATTTATCTGAATATTCAGACCTGTTCTATAATATTAGTGCAAGTATGACCTGCTAAATCACTGCTACAAAATCACTCATTACTGCTCAGTTAGCAGATAAACTGCACTGGGGATCAGAACAGGGTACCTGTGTCGTAATGTACATGTATCATAAAATACAGGTATTACATAGCATAAAGAACAACACCCTGTGTTTTGTTCCATCGGTTTTAGGTAAGCATGCAATATATGGCTTGAAATTGTCAACAAATGCACAGACAGGGACATAAGGAAGGAATTCTAAAATATTTCTGTAAAGAAGAAAAGACTGCCCTTAAAGTTTTCTCCACCTTCTAACTTTTATATTCTGGAGCATGACATTTCCACATCTGCTTTATTTATTAAAAATAGCAGACCTGAAATTGAAGGTAAACTGTTACGACAATGTTTATCATAAATGTAGATTGGATTTTTTTTTTTAAATGTTTTCTTTGATCAAACGTACATTCTGTGCCAAGAGAGACTGACTTCATCTGGTTAGCCTACTTTGCTAACTAGTAGTCTAGGACTCCAGAAGACTACATAGCAGTTCCAGCCAACCAAAAAAGTTACTTAAATGTGTTAAAACTGGTTCAAGTCAATAAATGCCTTGTGTGGCATGTCTGGTAAGCTCCGTCTCTGCTATGAGGCGATACCGGACACAGGAATGTTTACTGGCACACAGAGCAGTTTCCTCCTAAAAATCGTACACTCAGGTTATGAAATTACTCAGTTTTGCTCCCTGCTAAGCCCAAAGCAGGGAAAAATTCCAGTTAGTGTCTCACTATTACTGGTACTTTCTTCCTCCACCGCGCTTTGGTTTTGGCCCCTTTGGCACAGGCAGTCATTAGGATCTGCCCCAGTGGTTAGTAATTTGCCAACTTCATCAGACACAGGGGTTAGAGAAAGAAATGTTAGATTCACTCCTGCAATACAGTTAGGATGAGTATTTTAGTGATTTCCACTACAGTTGAGATACATTTGGTTAAGTCACAGCCACTTGCCATATTTCCAGAACCATACGAATTTTACTTCCTGAACTTCCTTTCCCCTTTAATTATCTGATTTTGAAGCAGTGAATACTTCTAACATTTCTACTGACTACTATGTCAAATTACAGAATATTTTCAGTAGATCTGTGGCTTTTTCAGAGTTCTGTTTTATAAAAAAAGTGATTTATTAAATAAAAGAATATACAAGTTCACTTACATTCAGCTCTAAAACTATTCCAAGGCAATCATATACTAATGACACACCAGTTGCCACAGCAATAATAATTACTGTCACAACAATATGGAAAACTGTTGAGAGGTTCCCATGGCAAAACACATTGGCAATCACCTGAAACAGAACCACAATTTTAAACCTTGAATTTACTCTTTATGTTAACAAACATCTTGTGCCAAATCTTCCAACCTTATGAAACTAAAAAATGGGTGAGAATACACTGACTGAACTTTACCTATCTTTTTCTTGCTTCAAGAACACCTCTTCGTCGCTTCCAGAAATAACTCATAACAAGCATTACTAAAATCGCAGAACAACTGCAACACTGACTTAGTTATACCTGCAGGATTTAGGGTATAGTGACTTTCTTCTCATTTGGCCACTACAGAATGAAACCCACTTACAATTATTTATTGAACAGGTGGATTTTCCTAGATGGAGATACTTTTACAAAGCAAAACGAGTAAGCAAAATAAATACACTAATTTTGGCTATTTTCGACATAACAACATTTATGCCAAACTTGGAATTTTAAGCATTCCTGATATTATTAATATAATATTGGATAATATTATAATAAATGTTATACAACATTATATTGCCAGAAACTAAACAGTACAAACTAGTACCTCATACTCATTGCATGTAGCAGGATAGGATATGCTGATATTTATTACAGATCAATCATTGACTTCAGCTACAATATATATTAATAATGTGAGAATATTATTAATACATATCAACACTGTTGAAGGGAGAACGCAATAAATTCTTACCTCTCTGGTCACAAAACATTCAAGAGGGAAGGTCAGAATTACAGTAACTCCATAACAAAACCTTCCAAATGTAGCAAGGTTGTCATCTCTACAGTAGTTTTCAAATATATCTCCTGAGGCATAGCAAAACATCAGTTAGTTTGAACTTCATGTCATTTGCCATTTGCAAATTGAAGTGTAAGTTACTGGATTAATTGAGGTTTTCTGATCCTCAGTCCTGATGTATATCAAGAAACTGTAGTTGAGAGTCACAATCCAGGAGGAACTTTTACCCTATCCTGCTATTAGCAGGTTTTTTTATTTCAAGTAGCATTTATCTTTCAAAAATATTTTAACATATACACATTAAGAGTTTGTCATCTGTTACCTTCCCCTTAGCACAAATTTCGTATGAGATGCTGGTGTTTGTTCAAATAAATGTGTGACAGATTCAGAAAGCTCATATATAAAAAAAATATATTTCCTTTAAAAATGTAATTCCTAGAACGATTACACAAGGAAGACCAGGGAGTTACCTCTGGAGAACTGTAGTTCTCTGACAGTATTATTATAGCTGGTAAGCTGCAGTGAAGAATTTCAAATACTCTGACCCTGAAAGCCCATTATAAACATATGAATTATTACCTAGCAAATCTTCTTACATCTAACAACAAAAGCATTGCTATAGAATCCAAATCATCATCTTGCTTAATGTTTACCACAAAGAATCTGGAACAATGATCTCCGAGGCGCAAGAGATGCTGCAAGACAGTGATCAGATGATCTACCAGGTCTTTTCTACTTGATTACTATACTGTCCTACAACTTACTACTTTTAGGGTCACAATGGCAATCACAGTGAAGAAGCAATAAGGTGCACTTCAGAGAAAATGGACAAAATATTTTGACAGGAGAGACAAAAGGTAAGATGGAACCTGCTTACAGTAGAGTCATACGCTGAGGGATAGCTGCAGTCAGAGCTTTCTATACGTGAAATATCTCAGCCAGTCTGCACTTAGTCTAGCTACAGTTGCATCTAGGACAGTAAGTTATTCTGCATAAACAGCACTGGAGGCAGGAAAAAAGGAAGACAGATCAAGCACTAACCCCCATCCTACAATTCCTCTGTTCTCTACATGCTGCTGCTCATCGGGAAATGAAAAAGCTTGGAAGCCTTCTCCTACAATTTGGAACAGCACTATTAAATAACAGCAAACCTGCTTGCTTATAAAATCTGTATTTTTACTGAAGAAGCTAATGCACTGAACAAATTTATGCCTTGTTCTTCTGAAAGCACCTTTTCTACTTCAAAAAAAATTATGTTAAATAATATGATGTAACATTGATTATATATATATTTCTAGATATATGTATATTCATATACACACAGAGGTGACAGTAGGATTAGTTACCACAGAACAAGATAGGAAATATCTCTAAGAGCTAGGATGCTATATTAGCACAGACAGGAAAAGATACAGGCAAATATACAGAAATATATGCCAGGCACCCTGCAGAAAAATCAAGGTAATTTTTGTTCCTACTGCTCTCTGCTAGTGAACCATGTGGCTAAATTACAGATCTTTAGAACTCAGGAGTATTTTAATTATGAAGTATTCAGAAAGGACTTTCACTGGTAAGGCTTACACTTGGGAATCTGACACCTATTAGCATGTAGCTGACATCTCTGTATCCTGTTTTGGTTGTTGGGTAACTACAAGGAATGTCCTAACTATTTCTGTCCAGACATAGTGTGATTTTGGCGTTTTAGCAATCACTAAGATATTAACAGGACAAGTCAGACAGAAGGGCGAAATATAAGGATTACAGCAAGCACCAAAACTGAGGGATCAAATGTTTTACCTTCTGTATATCCTGTAAAAGTCATATATCCACATGCAACGAACGCTACACTGATAACAACAGCGAGTGAGACAGACACATGTGTGACTCGAGACCAGTTCTTTAGTGTAGGTTCTTCCAGAGAGCCATATATTAAAAAGCTGTTATGGTTGCAGATGAATGCTGAAACACACATAACAGTTAAAGCAAGTGTATGAATCCATGCATATATGCATATAAAATAAATTTATGGAATGAATATTCCAAGGGAGAAGAGACACAGCACAGTTTGAATCCACTCATTATTAAATACAAACATTAATCCTGCAATGAGTGGCAAAGATAAATGGTTTGAACTTTTACTTACTCATTTGATTTGATGAAGGTTTATATTCATCCTGAGATGATTCTGATTACACTAGGCTAAAACGCCATGGCATTTCCCACCCTCCACACCTCCATTCCACCTCTATTTCCTCTTCCTGCTCTTCTCTTGCTTAAGAACCCAACAGCATGTTTGAGATTTTTTTTTTAAAATCCACAGAGTCATTTGCTACTTTCAGACTTGCTATGACATCCATTCTAGGCAGCCGCAAGCATTGGGATGCCTCAGATTATCACGGTGTTAACAAGAAGTAATACACAAAATCTTCCAGGTAGGAACAGATTTTAGAATGAGGATAATGGAGGTGAGTGGAGACTCACCGGAATGGTTCATTGCAAGAAATGGGAAGCAACAGGCACTCTCAAGCAAATGTATTCATTGCAGTCCAAGATTTTTCTATCAGAGGTTACCCAAGAGAATGCAGAATGATCACAGCCTCCTCAGTTTATCAGTTAGACTAACCCTATTGGCGCAGGTATTTTAAGATGACCTGGACAGTTCAGCCAGATTCACGTGCCACACCACTGTCTCTGCTACAGTGGCCATAGCCTCTGTGGCCAGATGGACAATGGACGGGGATAATGTCTTAAACCATAACAATTAAATTCACCTATGGATGACTCAAAGTCAATTTCATTATTTTCTAAACCAGCTTAACATGAGTATAAAAAAATTACAATTAAAAATATGCAATTTCTTGGTCCAAAACGTGAAATAAAGTAATTTTTTACAGTTGATCTGAATATTGAAAATACAAAAAAAATTACTTACCAAATGACATCACCCCAACAGCTTGTAATGCATTTGATTTTGCAAATATCCATGCATTTTCTGATCTGGGTCTAAAACAGACATTTGTTTTAACAGATTATCCTCTTTTCAACTATCAGTTACGAAAAAGAATTTAAAATACTATGCTGTAATACAGAACTACTAGTCAGATCTCCAGAACTCTCTGAAGTAAGCCACAGTGTTCATCGGCAGTAAGTTGAAACTAGGGGTATACCCTTCTCACTTCCCTTATTTTGATTAAAGTATTTCTGCAATCAGTTTTTACAGCCAAAAATGTCAGCCTGTTTCAGTGACCAGTCTTGTAAATAAACTCTTTGAGTCATCATATACCAAGAAACAGCAACAGGAAAGGTAAAAGCTGTTACTGATTCTAAGGTTATCTCAACCGAAAATCTCTTCTGACTATTTAGAGGCAATTTCTTCCTTTGATTTTGCACATGTAACCCATGCAGTCTAGAGATACTTTTTTTCTAGGATACAAATCAAGTGAGGCAGTTTGCTTTTCTTTACACCTGTTTCAACTATTCCTCATAGAAAGGGATCATGCTAGTTCCCAAGGGAGTGATAAAAATACTGTGTAAGAGAGTACATGGAGACTTTTGTAATCAGGCAAGAATGTAATATCCTCCATGTCTGCTCCTCTAAGACATGCTCACAATTTTGGACCTGTGGTAATTGCAATTTTCAGAGGAGGACCACAGAAAACCATCAGCAAACTTTGTTAAAATCCATTTGACACATGAACCAAATTAAGGAAAAGAGGACACAAAACATCCTTTTCCAGAACAATTTGCTAAAAATATTGAATTAAATTCACAAGCCAGTTGAACATTATATTTGTAATGTTAAAGCACAGACAAAGGAACAGTATAGAGAAGCTTGCTCTTAAAACGTTGGCTGCTGCTAACTTTGATTGTTTTGGTTTTATTTAGAGGGAAAGTTGCTGCCGGCTGAGGCCTTAACTGCTATTTTCCTACTGCCCTAAAAAGCAGTATGGCACTCACACCAGCTCTGTGAAGGTAACAATGGCAGCTTTGTCTCTCCCTCTAGCTGGTGATAACTAGCTGCGTTTGACAGCCATAGTGGCATATGTTATGCTAGGTTTCATTGCATCTTTAAACTCCACCCCCACCCGCTAAAAAGAAAAAAGATGACAAAAAAAAGATGTTGCTGTTTCCCCTTGCAGAACTCTTATCTTACTACTTTGTGAGAGCTCAAATAGTCAATCCTTCTTTTTCTACATTGTAAAAGACAGATTTAGCATCTAATACACATTCAGTTCAGACTTAGAGCACCTTTTTGGCTCTTAAACTGTGGTTGCTAAGCTTAACTTTGAAGTGAACACAACCTGAGTATCAAAATCAAGTTCAGATTTTTGTCCTTAGATGCAGTATATTGTCTTGACTAGTGTAACATACGGTTTCTAGTCTTAAGCAGCTGAATATGGCCCTCCTAAAACCTTCTCAGACTCAGCATGCAGTTGTAATAAATACCATGGATGAAATAGAGATATCTGGCATTTGTCTTATGAAATAGGAGTTCCAACCCACTATAGCTGCTGTACTTCCTTGCACAGAATAGCATCCCTTAACTTGATGCTACTGATTTCAAATCACTGGATATGTCCATGGACAATTCATATCCATAATTTTGAATGAATTATTTTTCATAAAAACATTTATATCTGATTATGAAAAAAAACCACCAATAATATTCCAAAAGAAAAACAGAATATAGAAAGCTAACATGACAACTGTTCCATTCCATAACCACTAGGGGTCAGTTTTCACATCAAACACACAGAATGAAAATTTGTTTTATTATCCTTTGACAACAGAATTTGTGAAAGTCTCCTTACCCCCTTCTCTATTAATAACTAACACTTAGATTATCTAATACCCTATAAACAAAAATATTTTTTAAATGCACAGAAATAAGGAATGCTTTTGCTTGAAACACATTTAATTTCTGTGAAAATGGTACATCCTGTGCAATAGTATAGCTATATTATAAGCTCCTACAAAGAGGGATTTAAAAAATTGCATGTATTAAGCATGTGAATTTCAGTTGAAACATTTTGAATGAAGTGGCCAAATAATCAATAAAAAAAAATAAAAAAAAAAAATCACAGGAGCTAGTTTTTCCCCTGCAGTGTTAGCTTATGCACTAGCAATATGCAACAGACCAAAATACAGCTTTGCTTTATGGATGAATGACAAATCAGATTAAGAGTATTATTTGGGGGGAAAAATCCAAAAGAACAAAATCCTGCTTATTTAGCAGCATAAGATGATAAATTCCTTCCATTCCAGTTGCAGAATGGAGGTTGAATTTCAGATCCATGATTTGAGCACTACCAGCAGATTGCAATGTCATACAATGCACGCTTGTGCAGATGACATATGCAACAGTATGTGACTATTTCTTACAGTAAGTCACACTGCTGCATGTGTTTTGAAAAACATTTTCATGCCTTGGGAACAGAAGGATCTCACACAGATGTGATATGTAAACTAAATTGAAAGCAACAAGATAAGAAATTTCATTTCTAAGCGTTTAGAACTAGGAGTCAACAGCTCCAGAGTTCTGACCATATCAAAAACAAATCACCCCCAAGTCCAGCCTGCAGGACATACAGACTTATGCAAAGCTCCTGGAAAAAGGTGCAGGTGACATGAAAGTGTCTATATAAAATGAGGCTTCAGACTGGGAAAGAGAAAGTTGTGTCAGGAAAGAGTAGCTGTTAGTTACAGAAGAGCCATACAGTGAATAATCACTTAAAATGACTCACAAGACAAAGGGCACCTAATGGAAATACCAAGTATCAAGGTAAACATACATACATTCATATAAATACATGCATCTGTGTAGGCAGTTGCAGGCATAGGCTGAAAAAGTCTATCACAAGAATACCAGGTAACACTATACCTACTCTGCATTTTCAATCCTGCTGCTACTGTTCAAGATGGAACTGTTTGGGTTTTGGTTTTTTTGGTGTTTTTTTTTTTTTTTTAGCTGCAAATATCCATGACAAAACCAGCTAGCTTACAGCTCTTCACATGGTGTATAAAAACACAGGCCATACCTGCATGAACACAAATGTTTTTTTCGTGCTGAAGAAGGAGAATTAGATGAAATGTGATGAAAGTTAACAGAAGAAATATGTGATACTAAATGCATTTATTGAGAGCTGTACTGTCTATCATACATAGAAATTGTAACACAAAGTAAAAGCTGAGAGGCAATATAACTGTGATACTTGGAACAAAAATAATAAAAGACTGAACAAGAAGACATTCCAAGGGCAATTCCAGACAGCAAAAAGTCTCAGCTGAAAGTAAGATGACAGCAAGACAGACTGACAGTTAGAACTGTCCGTGGGAAGGCAGTGAAGCCTAGCAACGAAGAAAGCCTAGAAGTTAAGAAAATAAGACTCTGCTCAGTCTTCAGTATATGTAAAGGAGAAGTATAGCATAATACATGTTAGTAAGTTCAAAAAAAGTTTTGAAAATATTCATGTTTCTTTACATAAGAACAGGGGAAAATGAAATGAACAAATGAACCAGGAAAAGGTTAAGACCTCCTAGCGGGGTGGAAGACACTTCACATCCAGATCATGAGTCAGAGTTGGACAAATTTGTTTGGCAGTCTAGACCAGCATATCTTCTACTTCTTGTAAAAGATTTACAGTGTAATACTGACTCCCCATCTTAAGATCCATGCTATGTAAAAATCTTTTCTGTTATTTATGTAGAAACACTGCCAAATACAATACAGCAGCAGAGTGAATCAGAAGCAAAATGTCTTTGAGGAGGGCAAGAGAAACATAAGTCCTTGATCTCAACCCAGCTTGCAAGTATGAAACAGTGACTGAAAAAAAAGGTTAATTTCTAGAAGGAAGCAAAGTCATAAGTTTGACAGGGGAGCTACATGTTGGAATGAGCAAAAGATTTTCATTGTTTTGGATTGAAGATCAGTTACAAACCACCAAGTTTAGGTGCAAACTGGCAGCTATCAAAATAATCCAGGAACACATGGCAGATTAATTCAGGCTTAATTCAATGATTTAGACATTTAGGAATCTAACTGTAAAATTTGAATTCAATTCTATTCTAAGGTAAAATACCTTTTTAGTTTTTGTTTAAACTTCAGAAGTTTAAAGATATTGAAAATGTTCATAGATGCTGAATATAACTTCAATCAATATAATGGAAAGAAAGTATGTAATGCTCACATCACCCTTGAATTTTATATTAATCAAAGTAATCTTGGTTGTTAAAGAACACAGATGAGGCAAAGCTATATGTCATCCCCACTTAGTTACAGCTGCTTTAACTTCTCTTTCTTCCTTAATGAACTCCTTAGCAGTTCTGTAAATATAGAGTAGCTTAGGTTTTATTTTTTAATTTCATCACACATTAAAGTTTATCTTTGCTTACTATTGGATTATTTATGTGAAGGAAAGAATTAACTTTCTACTTTCAAGCTATTTTCCTGAACACTTGGCGTTTCATCCCTGTGATCAGCTGCCAGCTGAGTAATTCTCACATCCTATTTATGTGCAGCAGATGCTCTTGAAGTTTTTCCTAGAGATTTATGCATTATGCAGACACTGGCATCATGGCATTCTTTCCAAAAGAACACCAAATTAAAAAGATCCATCTTTATAAGCTACATAAAATATTGCTTTTTACAGCAATGAATGTTAGTTTCAGCTTTAAAGCATGAAGTTACTTTATGCAGTATTAACATACTGCGCATTTACAGTTTGAGATAATTCTAACCCATTGTTTTTGATCACAGTAGAAAAATACCCAGCTATAATCAGGTAGAAATAAAGTAAAGGATGGATCATCAAAATGTATTTTTATCCAACATCTCAAACTACTGTGAGTAAACTCTGGGTCCAGAACATTGGATTTTATCTGCAGGTTCACCTTCAGGCAACAATAATCATATGGATGATATTAATCAAAATAAGGAAAAAAAAAAAAAAAAGTACTTCAGTTTCATATTTGTCATAAGAGGAAATAAATTGTATTTAATAACCCAAACAACCCTCATCATAAATACATTATTTTTTTCCTGAGAACTAACAAGAAAATAACATTCCTATAATGTCCCTGTACAACCTGCTCTATTCCCAAAGCAACTAAAAGTTAAAAAAATATGCAACGCTCTAAAGACTTATAATTGCTGTTTTCAGCTTACAGTTTCAAGCACATCAAATAATTAAAAACGGTAATGACATTGTTGTTTCACTGATAGTGTAACACATTGGCGAAAGTTTCTAGGAAAGATAATATTCTCTGTTGTCCAAATAATGGATAAAATTTTCAACTAGAACATGAATTGCATTTAAGCAAGAAGTTGTATCATTCCCAGATAATCTTGTTATACCTCTCAAAGGGAAGCAATCTTCACTCTGAAAAATCTAAAGGTACGTGAAAACTGACTATTACTCAGAGAGTAATTATCAAAGTGGGAAGATGCCGGAATGGGATCCCAGTGGAACCTGACCTGGGTCCAGCATTTTTGAATGTATTCATCAGTAACTTGAATGATGGAACAACAAGTAAGAAACATCCTTAACAGAAAGCATGAAATGCGCAGTTAACACAAGCATGCAAGAGAACGGGGTGAAAAAAGAAAAATTATAGATATGTTGGTAAATGGAGAAATCATCTGATAAAGCAGTATTCAACTCTCTAATGACAAATTCTACGGTTATGCAGGGGGAAAAAAGCTTCGCGAGAACAGGACAGGAGAGAACAAGCAAAAAACAAACCCAAACTTCATGAGAACAGAGTAAAGGAAAGGAAAAATTGCCAGCTCAGAGTTCTGCAGAGAAGGGCTTGGTGCTTCTGTTAGACTGCAAATTCAAGGCACATCCTCAATGTCATGCTATTTTCCAAAGAGGCAAACATCAAACCAGGTTACATAGACAGGACTGTATCAATCCCCAAAATATACAGCTGAAAGGGACCTCAAGAAAATTTGTGTGGAAGATACGTCAATCTTTCTTCTCTGCTCCCCAGTGGGAATGCCACAGGCTGCTGGGGCACCACAATATCACTTCAATTTACAGAAAACTTAAGGCAGCCACTGAGAATGATCAGTAGCACAGGAAACTACAAGAAGAGAAGCACTGAAAGGAACTGTGTTTGTTTATAGAAAGGATCACCAAAGGGGGACAAGTTACAGCTCTTTACAGGTGTTTTTTAAGCTTTTGAAGAAGAATGAACAGTTTGCTGTCCATACCCATTGTGGTTAGGCCAAGAAGCAATCAACATGAAATGCAGTATGAGAGAAATATGATACACATTTAGGAAGAATTCATAAGAAAACGCTAGTTAAGAACTGGAATGGGAAATCATGGAATTGCCAAGAACTAGCTAGACAAACACCTGTCATCAATGGCAAGCATACAATCAGTTCTGCCATATAACAATGGTAGGGATTAAATATTCACTCTTGGCCCCATCAAGCCTTTACCTAGGATTGTACAAATCCTTTTCCTATATGACAGATCTGAGGACTAGGTTTCATAATCATGATTTTTTTAAATCTCTGAAAACTTCAACTTCTTTTTTATTTTAATAAGGATTCACAGTAAATGCGCTATTTCCTTGTTTCACTTGTTATAATACTATGATGGGACCCATTTAAAATATATTGGTGTTCTTTATTCTCATTACAGAAAAATAGATGTCATACCATTAACAAAATATTAGGAGAGGTTTTCAATAATTAAAGTACATGTTTATTTCTAACAGTAAAATACAAATAGTAAAAATAGACATTGATAGAATGTTTGTGAGGCAAAAAATTCTCATTAACAGTTTATCAAGTTGCTAGATGCATTTTTGAAAACCAGAAGTGTAAAAGCAAAAATGAAAGTCTTTAAAGAAATAAAAAGTAAAACTTCAAGAATCACTCAAAACCCAATATTACTTATTGTAAGGAAAAATAGAGCCATGCATTCCATAACTTTCAATGCATCACAACTGTTGAGAAGAAATGTTACCATAGTAACAAGGTCATCCATAACCATTATAGATAGCTTCTTCCTTTTTTGACTGAGAATTTTAAGACTACCCTTTCAAATACCCTTTTAACACACAGTATGAAAAACATGCTGGTTCATAAATATGGGGGGGCAGGGAAATCCCACACTGTTCTAAGTGCATCACTTTATGGATGATAGACAACATAATCTGGTACAACTTTGGAAACTGCTATTCTAGCCATCTTCCTGGCATTAAACATGAATGCCCTGTAATTAAGCCACAGTTATGAGTAACACTGCTGAAACAATCATGGTGGAAGAATCCACTTCTTACAGAAACACTAGAATACTATATAAAACTATTCCAATAAATAAAAAAGCACATTCAGAAATAGAGTTTGACGTCTTTATTAACATATCTTCACATTTAAAGGATGAGGAAAAAGACAGACCTTATGGGCCATAGAGGAAAGATAATAGATTCCTAACACTTTCTTGCAATACAGTTATAACAATATTGCTGCAACACACATTCGTGTCTACTAAGTTGTCTAGAACACTCCAACGTCCGATGTTAAATACTACTTTCAGAGCATGGGCATTGGAAAAGTTTTGCCTGCTTATATTGTTGTTTTCTCAAATGGCAGAATAAAGTTTTTATCATTGTGTTCTCTTTTTTCCTTTTCATTATTTGTATGCAATTTTTATTATGAAATCATTATATTAACAGAAAAAGAAATATTCCTAAAATAGTATCTATTTTAAGATTGTAAATACGGGCTCTCTGACAATAATGGACAAAATTAAAGATTTCTCAAATGACAAACAACCTCACATGCCCATTCAGGAGCCACCTGCTATTAGCCATATCACCCACAATTTCCAATTAATCTGTAGGTTTTTTGAGACTTTTTCTAACTTTGATTATGTGCAATAGAATTTATTAAAAAGGATAAAGTATGCTTTAGCAGTTCATTTTGTGTTACTGTTAATACAGACTTATTTTTTCAATTATCTGTCTCTCCCAAAACAGCCATGTTTCAAAACCATGCAGATATATATAACAGTGAAATAATGGATTACACGTGATGAAAAACTCACTTTGTGGCAAGTGTAAGAATACTCACACTTGTGGACTGAATGTTACTGTTCTCACCATCACAATAATCAGGATGACAACGGTTAAAATCAGAGAAATAAGAGATACCTGTAAAGGTGAAAACACAATTTCAGTCAGTAAGCAGCTGAAAGGTTGTCCTCTTAGCAGCATAGTGTACTTTTTTTTAAAGAATAATTAACAACCAAGTAAAGTTCTAAATATCACATGTCAAATATTTATAATTAGAAAGCTTGTATGATATCATCTTTTAATTTGTTCTTCTTTTTGAGTAACTAGCCAATCACAATTATTTGCCTAATTTTAAGTGATGTTCCCATGTAAATATTTCTAGTCAACGGTGCTCAGCATTTCAAGATCAGACCTGTATCACACAGTGCTTTACAAGATTTGAGTTTTACCTGCAGTAGATGGAAAAAGTCCAGTGATTCATATGGAGACTGAAGTTTTGCTTAAACTGTTCTAAATTTTCCAGTGTTTCTTGGGACAGAATCATAGAATGCAAAGGGTTGGAAGGGACCTCAGGAGATCATCCGATCCAACTCTCCTGCTAAAGCAGGTTCACCTAGAGCAGGTTGCACAGGACATCGTCCGGGGGAGGGGGTTGAATATCTCCAGAGGAGACTCCACAACCCCCCTGGACAATCAGTCTGTTGCAGTGCCCTGTCACCCTCAAAGTAAATATTCACACTGAATACTACATATTCAACTGAAACCTCTTATGCTTCAGTTTGTGCTGTCTGAACTTCTAAAATATTTAACGTGCTCTAGCCAGATGTAATTGAGTTCAAATACATTGTTATGACTGCCACTTATTTTCTAATGGCATACAGAAAAGTAAACCAGAAATCAACTGCTATTACGATTTACCTTTCCCAGTTTTGCTATGTCTCGATATAAAGATATAGGCAAGGTAAAGATGATGGTGGTAAGAAGAATTATGAAGTGACGGTCAGTAAGCACGTTATCTGGTCCAACTAAAGGAAAAAAAGAAAATTTATTTCTCTAAGAGACTGACACGAGGAACAAATTAGTTACATTTGAAAGGCTAGGAGTAACAAACTCTGATGTTGACCAGGCTTTTATCCCCTTTATTCAAGCTAAGTAACACTGAAATAGAGACTAGGCATTAGCTAACCTTGAGGAATCCATACATAGCACATGCATAATCACAAGAATTCTGCAAATTCAACCAAATGTATAACATATAGGATATATTATACCAAACTTTGGAAGTCTGGCATTTCTACATATTGATTAGTACTAATGTCTTTCACCATGCCTGGGTCATTGTTGGCGGACTGCAAGTAAAACATTCTACTACTTCTTTCTGCCATTTACTCTTCAGGATTTTTTGACACTGTGTAGTTGACATCAATTACTGTGCTGTTGTAGATAAGCAAATTCTTAAAGAAAGGTCCTAAAGTAAGTTAACTTTGAGGTTTCTTTTGAGCACCTCCTTTCTTGCTGTCAGCTGGCTTCCACTTGCAAAATACAGATTACCATGTGAAGGCAACAATAATGTTACAATTTTCCCTGCAATTAGTGGGATTTTATTTGTACAACTGGTGTTTTTCTCAAGCCAATGACAACTTAAATTAAAACATATCTCAGTTTCAGTCAGGCTGCCATGAATCACTGGCTTGAATGAAAGCTTGCTGAGTAATTATGGCTGGAAAGTGACTGGCAATTGACATGGAAAGTCTGTGTTCAGTTCCCTCTGTTCCTTGGGAGATTATAATGATTTTCCACCTCTTCCCAGGCAGGCATTCTACCAGCCAGGTGAAGAGATGTGCCATGCTAGGGGTTCCTCCTATTACAGAAGTCATATTGTATACAAATGATTAGATATTCACTGTCATTATCAACCTGATCAGGTATTCACAGAACAACGGAGTGTGGCAGTTAAAACTGTATCCAAATTTGCAGGCTTCACCTGCATAAAATTATAGTCCTTCTGTGGAAATCAAACAGTTCATACAAATACTAATTTCCGCTTCATCGCAGACATGTTCTTTTTAGTTTAATTTGCTAGTGAAGAATGTTTTAACTTAGCTGGCTTTGTGCTAAACTAGATGGCAAACATGCACACAAATTGCTCCACTAATTCTGCTGTGAAAACTCATAGCAGAGGAAGTGTAACGAGTGCATAAGTTAAAAAGCTCAAAATGCCACATCTGGTTTTGCAGTGAATATCTAAAAGAACTGAAAGTTAGATATGCAGTTCATGACTAACTATTACAGATATGCTTAGGCAAGCATTAAATCCACTATATTTTTTGCAAGTCATCCAGAATTATTCACTAGATGAAGTGCAGTTTCAGTTTTCAAATTACTATTATAGGTAATATCTACAAAAGATGACAAAATACTATGACCTTTTAAATATACCACTGTGGAAGACTCCGATTTGCTTAGTATTTCATTAAAGCATGTGGTCTCTTCACTCACACTTAGTCCAATGATGACTAGGATTCATAGTTTTTATTTGAGAAAGACTACTTCAGACTGACACAGGATGCTAATCCCTAAATACTTAGCTATATTACTAGCCAACACATTTTCCCTGTTCCGAGTTTTTTAAATGCATCTTACCTCCAGGAATTCTCTGAAAAACTTTAGTTAAAGTGTCTCCTGTTATTATGTTGTAACTGATCATAGCTTAAAGAAAATACAATTTTTGGTTAGTTCAAGTCAAATATGAAATATTTGATAAACACTTAATACACATATTTTGTAGATTTCAGAATTATATGCCACTATCCTTGCATGAATTCTGGCTAGCACCAACATCTTCTGAGTTTCAACAAAATAAAAAAAAAATCTTTAATGTTCCCCTTTATTATTATTTTTTTTTTTAAACAAGTACAACTTAAGCAAGCACCCAGTCTGACAAGCAAGTCCATTGTGCTCACTTGCCATATAAACTTACTTCAGAGAGGAAAAAAAGGCTTTTTAAAATTGTTTCTTTCTAACAGCAGTTCTTTCTCAGTTTATTTTCAAATTCTTGTTTCTATTTAGTAAAATTCCTGTGTTAGTCTAACAATCAGTCCTGCAATGAAATGCACAGGACTTCCTAGCTCATGTAGAAAGTTGGCAAAATCTTTAAACCAGAAGAAAGGAGAAAAACAGATGAAAATATCAGATACCAACTTCCATTCCTTCATCTCATTAATAAGAGCTGTGCCCTTAACATTAGTATTTCATTCTTATCTTATTCTACACTAGAAGTGTGCATATGTGTATACATACACACAAAATATATTTATGTACTCATGTGGTCTTCACCATTTAGACAGCATACATATAGGTACTGACCTTAACTAATGCATAAATATTCCCTGTTGTGAAACTGTAAGTCATTAACACTACTTATAGAAATAAATTCAAGCACATATGTATGCATAACTGTTTCCACAGTAAGGACTGAGATCTTTTAAATTTTCCGTATTCTCTTTGAAGTAGTAATTATACTCTTTTTTAAGTCAACATGTGTAACATTGTTGCCTGCAGTAACAGTAACTTGACTCCCTTAAAAATCTCAGCTACCTATAATAAATTCAGACTGATTGTTCCCAAAGTAGGAATTTTGATCTGGGAATCAGGTCACCAAGTCCAGATGCTTGGTACCTCAAGTCACCACCTCTTGCAGGTGACTTGTGTGAAAACATCAAGCTTATGTAAGATTTGATTTAATTATGTTACTACTGTAGGGGACAGATTCAGAACATCACTTCATTTTAAACTTCTGGTCTAATTAATTCCTGCCCAGATTATATCTGTTTCTTCTTGGTCTTGACTGACCAACTTCCTAGTAGCTCATTCAGTATAAGGCTGAATAATGCTTTTGAAGAGCAATGACGGCACATAATATTCAAGCAAGACCTGATCAGTGGCTTCTCCAATGACAGTAATACTACATCTTTGAAAGAAATATGAATTCGGTATACTCCTAAAGTAATAGTTTCCTTTTCTTTCAGGCACACCAAATCTGTGCTGTGTTAGTCATTCTAGAACAGCTCTTCTTAGCTATTTCTCATAGCTACTTTTGTTATTAATTATTAAGTGTGTGATCATGAATTTCTCTGTTATTACATTTCAGTTAGTTTCTATTATTCTGGTCCTCCAATTCATTGAATTCTTCCTCAGTTGTTCTTCAAAATGCACCAAGTAATTTTTAATTATTTTGTTTTATAGGAAAGAGGCATATACAGTATATCCTTTACAGAGTTCTTAATATTTAACCAGTGAAAGAATGAGGTAATGTGAAAAAGCTTGTTACTTATATAACTTAAACATTTATATGTGTTCTTACCAATAAATGGATATAAAAATTGAAGAGTTGAAAGAATTAGATAACCTACAAGACCGTATGTTTTTCTGACCAGCTCTTGATAGGTGTTGGTATTGGAGAGGTTTCCTCCTTTGATCAGTAATATAATAGAATAATCTGTTAAAATATAAAATTACTGTTAAAGACAGTAGGAACCAACTTGTGGTTGGTTACTGCTCATCTTTGTCACTCCTTAAAAAAACAGTTCATAAAAAGGAAAACAGTGGCACTGGGAAGAGCAGGGATAAGAAATCTCACAAAGGATCTCAATCCACCAAAATCAGGAGTTATAGGCTCATATAGGAAGGAAATTCCAGCTTTCCCAATTAGGAACAGCAGAAACGGGCTCATTTTCCTTGGTTTTCAGTATGGTCAAAGGGAACAAGAACTGTCACGAGCACCAAAAAAGGAAAATTCAATTAATAATGTAGAGGGCTTCTGAATGGATGGAGCACTTAATTATATCCTGAAAGGGGGCAAAATACGAGGACTGCGTGTGTCATGGTGCTAGACCTCTCAATCACTTTACTCAGCTTTTATCTAAGTTTGTGAAAGATAAAGCCTTGTTAGTATTTTGTCTTCTCCATTGTTTACGATAAAACTATTACAAACATTTTTATTGGATACTTTTAAAATAAAACACACCAAGTGATTTATCTGGAAAACTATGAAGCAATGCGCCTTGAGACAGAGCTGATATCATAGGCGGAATTACTCCCAGATTGAACCTCAATTTTTTAATGAAGAACAGTTCAAAATATAGCTATTATGTCAAGCTATGCCTTAGCATTTCTTTGAGCACCATGGGATTTTCCAGTCCCGATTAGTTACAGCACAGAATTTATTACCTTAGTGCAGATGTCTTGACAGATAGTAGCTAGACCTCGTCTATTCCTCATCTGGCTTTCACTTAGCTTGTAATCTATGCTGCAATAGGAACAGTTCCTTTCTGTGAACAGTATCAGTGTTTATTATCTTCTGGGAACAACTAAAATTATGAAATTTTCACAGTCTTTACAAGGGCCATTTCTACTGTTTGTTAATGTGAAAGCCAATCCAGAAATTCCCATGAGCATATGCAATTGTTACACGAAATATACCCATACTATAATTGGGAACAGACAAAAGCAGAGATACAGAAATGTTCACTATCAATTATGTTGCATACCGAGCTAATCTTGTACAAGAAATAATAAATGTTTGTAGCAAGGCATCTTAGACCCACAAAACTTGAAAAAGATTTATTGTTAAATGACCTAAAACTGTACTTGTCTGTCAATCTAGGACTACACCCCATATAAATTAAAAACATACCCCAAAATTAAATACAGTGAGAAATGCTAAATAACAGCTATTTGCCAATTATTCAGTAAAAACTATGGAAAATAAATGCTATTGTTACATACTTAGCCTGTACTTCAAATGCTACAAGTCAAAAAGTTGTAACTAGAGTTACAACTTGCTTGATCAAGATACACCGAGCCACATCTTCAACATCATAAAATGCTGAGGTTAATTCACAGGTTATGGTCCTATGGCTATAAAGTCTTCAAAATACTTAGAAATGCAAAGGACAAGTTGGATTTCCTACAGAAAAGTAAATGAAATTTCTGAGCTATGTTTATGGTATGATTTCATTAATGTATTTTGCCATCACCCATACAGAAAATTTTCTATTCATAAGGGACATATTCCTTATGTTATATTGCTGTCCAGTCAAACCTCAATCATTTATGCAGACCCTTAAATGGTATTTCAAGCAACAAACAGCATCAACTACTGCTCAGCATACGGGTAACAGAATTTGTGCCATTCATGTTGACTTGGTTTGTCAATTTAAGACTTGAATCCACAGTGTTCACAAAAATTCTCTTTGAAGGCAATAGATTTACTTATGTTTATTCACCACATGATTTCAAAACTTGTACCTTTTTGAAGGTAAATACTTTTTTGGTTTTTGATGAATAATAATTAAATAAAATATTAAAAATCACAGTACAGACAAAGGTTTTCATTCTGTGGCATATTTAAAAAAAGTAATATACAACCCATTCAAGGATCAGCCTCTTAGGGTAAAAACCATGGACTAAACCAGGTGATTATGAGGCACAAATAAGAGCTATTCTTCCAAATGTCACCTTGACCTAGTCTAAGAAACTAGGCTTTACGAAAATAAAATGCACACAAAAAGCAGCTTTATATGTTGCACAGTATAATTCTCTACTTTTACTAATCTGCTCAAGGGATTAGTGAAGTAAGGAAAAAAATTGCCATTTTTATTGTCATAGATATATTTGTTTTAGGCATCTTTAAGCTCATGATCAGCTAAACATTGCAAAGCTAATTTTTGCTTTACAACAGAAACTGCTTTTAGAGTACCTGTGATATAGGCAACCCCAAATAAAAGCAGTACTCCTAGTGGAAAACCAGCTTCCTTCATTGAATATGGCAATCCTGTAAATAAGAAAAGGAGAGATTATAGAAAAACCTTTCCAAATACTTGTGATGACCAAAATAAAGAAATATTCAAATTAAAAAAAAATGCTATCAATCTCCCAAATTGGACCAGCATACTTAATAACCTCAGAAATATCATTTTTAGTGGACAGTGTTGCTTAGGTGTGAAGTTCAGTCAGCACCTGCCCAGCCAGTTCTCTCTGATCATTATGGCAAAGAGGCTGTAGGGTATTTATCACTGAGAGATATGTTCTCAGCTGACCCCTCTGGATTTTTGCATAGTAAGCAAAGAAAAATATAGAAAAATCTTTAAGAACAGCAGCACAAAGAAAGATAACAATCTTACTCTCCAAACTGGATAGTCATGCATGTGTAAACAAGGCTGAACACAGGATAGTGAAGAAAGGTATACTTACCTATAATGCCTGATCCAATGATAGAGTTGATAATGTTAAATCCAGCTGATGCAAGATTACTATTTCCTCCTTTATTCCTGGGCTTACTAACAAGCGCTGTTTGGTCATCTGTTTCTACCTATTTCAGGAAAACAATGATAACATTATACATGAGAAAAATAGGTGAGAACAAGGATTTTATACACAGTCTGTTCAAGACCAGAAAAACCTGTCATAGACCCAGATTTGTAGGATTTTACACATAGTCTATTCAAGATCAAAAAAAAATTGTCACAGACTCAATTTGTGGAGGTATTTTGATAACTAAATCCCATTTTTTTCAGTGAGAAATCAAAGGGGCGCTAGACATCTAATTCCTGTACAAGTCTGACCCATAATCTTCTGTAATTAACTCTTTAAAAAAAAGTAAGTGGAAGGACAGAAACGTATATAAACTCAGAGGCAGGCTGTTAAACAAAGAGCTTTTTAGTCATGTTCCAAAGGCAGAAATGTGAATCAAGTGGTTTTAAAAAATATTTTGGCTACTTTTGAAAATATTTTGGCTACTTTTGAAAATATTTTGGCTAATATGACTGGTCAGTAAAAATAGGCCCCTGAAGTAGGGGAAATTAAATCAATTTCAAGAGTTACAATTGAAGATGCTCTATTTTAAATATTTCTGTTGTCCAGTGGTTTAGTTCATTATGAATAGATAATGACACTATAAAATTGGCTAGTCCCAGAAAGTTTCTGTGGGAAGGTCTGGCACAAACCAAAGTTCAAAGCACAATTTGTAGCAAATAACTTCAAAAATTAAAGTTCTTATCCTCAAAGAGCATTTCTTCATAAGCATGCAGTGGTCCTCTCCTCAGATCACCACTCTGCTGTCAGAGAACATTTTAGAATCATTCATTAGAAGGCCAGTATTTTAAATGAAGTCATGTAATTCAAAAAAGGAACATGCATTTAATGAAAAAAATGCCTGCCTGTGTTCTACAAAAGCAGAATACTGTGTACATACCATGAAAATAAACCCACTATTTCATAGATGCAGGAACCTATTTAACATATATAGCAGGTAGTACAAACTCAGATGCTTGTCACTAATACTCCTGGAAAAAAAATTAAATGACTGATAAATCTAAGTCATCTGTAGTGGTATAAACTGACAAGCATAAGAGTTCCTCAAGGAGGGCTATGTATTTAAGTAGAACCTTTAATCCTTAAGCAGTACTAACATAAAAAGAGTAACATTGGCTCAGATCAAAGGCCAGTATAGCCTGGTATCCCATTTCTGAGAGCGGCCATGGAATGTGCCTAGAGAAAAGCACAGGAACATGAAAAATAGATAGTTAGCAAATAACATCCCTGTCTCAGCTTTCATCAGTTTTCATACCTTGGACTTCCAAAAGCAGGTACATTCTTCGTGCATCACATTCAGTAATAGATTGCTCCTTGAATTTACCCCTTTTTTGACACCATGTATACTTTTTACATCTTCAATGTCATGTAGTAATGAATACGACATCTTAATTATACATCATATGAAAAGGTAAGTACTCTTCTTTGTTCTGAATCTATGATTAAATAGTTCCACTTGGCATCCCAAAACCTTTTGTATCATCACAGAGAAACCAACCACTGATTCCCACTTACCTTTTCTATATCACCTGCAGTTTTATAAGTAACATTCTCCCTCAGCTGTTTCTCATCTAGACTTACAGGTGCTACATTTTATTTCACCAATGATTTAAGCAGCAGAAACATCACTATCATTGTCTCCTGAAATTTTAATGCTCTCTACTACTTACAGCATAGTACATGTGAAATTGCACAGTACTAGAATGGTCCAGTTCCCTCTTTTCAGTTTTTAGAAGAAAATGAACACAATATGCATTGTACAGCTCACAGGCTCTGTCACGAGCCCCAGTCCCTTTCCCATTTGAAAGAGACACATTTGAGTTGGCAAAAAGGACAAGAAAGGGCAACAGATATTGTGACACAGGTGAAATGGCTCCTGTGTGAAGGCTGCACTTGGACTGCAGAGAGGGGAGGGAATGCCTTTTGGGAGGCGTGCTAGTGAGCTACGCAGCGTGGAATGCTGCAGAAGAGGTGAACAGGAGGCATTTGCCTCTTGCAGGGTCCTCTCCCAGGGACAAGCTGTAGGCCATGAGACAGCTAGAGCCACCCACTACCATACTGATAGCAGCAGGGCCACCAGGAGATAGAGTACTCAAGTTCTGGTCCTCAAACGAGACTGGATTTTAGCTGGTCCAAGCAGCCACAGTTCCTCTACCTCACGTGAAGAAGGCCCCTCAGATTGCATTTTTTGTTTCCCTGCATAGTACCTATGAGTCGTTCTTCCTCACACGAATTAGGGGGAAGCTGAACAGAGATGAAAAAGCCGCAGCTGCTGTCAGCTCCTTAGCACAACCGGAGGAGCTGGGCTGCAGCGGCGACCCGCCTGGGACGCTTCACGCAGCTGGTCGCTATAAAGCCCGCCAAAACCGACCGCTGTGTCCTTTAAGCGCCTACCCGCTCCCCTTCCAACGTGCCGAGACGAGGGGCCGAGGAAAGTAAAGCGAAGTCGGGTGAATACCGGCCGGCTGGCTGGCCGA